ATGAAAATTACTTTGCATGATAGATAGGTAAGATGTGAAAAAAAAAAGGCATGAGAGAAACATTGCTTTACAAACCTTAAGACAGTGAAGTTTGTTCATTTTATGCACTTCATGCTTTATACAGCAGCATCTTAGCAAAATGTAGCATAAAATTGCAGTGTGACAACACTAATACCAAGAGGGCTAATCATTTGCCCTCATGTCAGACCTACTTCAGCTCATGACAGCATCTGAAGATTAAAAGAAATTCTTTCCTGGCAATCTTACAGAAGATAAATATCTATTACTATTATTAAAATAAAACAAATATTTCATTCAAAATAATAATAGCATTACGCATACACTCAATAGTGGAATTAGGTTGGTATACATTGGTGGCATTATTATTATTATTATAAAGTTAACATTTTCCTAAGCTGAAAATGCATTTCCAACAGGTACTTACCTCCTCTCACTAAATGTTTTTTTTCAACTTACACTGCCCTCTGTCGGCACAAATTTTCCCTTGCCACTAGCCTTGATACTCCCACTTACCCTCATGTTTGTCAATGTGAAACATTTGCATATTAACATGCAAATGTTTATGCAGCAACCCTCCACCAATTGTAGTGTGACACTACCCCTATTATAACTAATATCCTCTCTAATCTTGCAGCCTTTAATCACTTCAAAATTGGAAAGATCAAACCAAACCACACCAGAAGTGGGGAGGATGGATGGGAAATGTGAGAGGAGGTAAGTATCTTTCGGAAATACATTTTCAGTTTAGGAAAATGTTAACTTCCAATACAATACCTCACCTCCACTCAAAAAAAACACTGAACAGGTGGAGGACTGGTGAGAAGATGATCCCCCTTTAGGAAGCACCCAAAGGAAAACCATGGGGTGTGAGAATGAACTAATAACAACACACCCACAGGAGACCACACCACTTCTGAAACAGGTATACTATTTGCCCATTATTAATGTGTTGCCAAAAGGGCAGAAGAAGTAGGGACCCCATGAATAGTTACAGAAATAAAGGGACCCATGGTGTAGAGTGGCTAGGGCACGATAGACCATAAATGGGAGTTGGAACTCAACCAACCCCTGTTAGCATCTGTAATTGTACATTAGGTCCACAGTAGGAAGAGTTCTCTACCTTTCATCTCAAAAATGGGTACCATCAGGGTAGAAAAGTTTCCGTGCCAAGAACCTGTCTCCACATGCAC